ACTCACACACACTCACTTGTCCACCAGATGAGATGTTAAAAGCCAGATGGGCGTTTGTAGTCTAGATGTTAGGATGGGTGGTATGATGGCATACACCACACTACAGCAGAACTGTGTCAACCAGTGGTTATTTTGCTATACTGTTAGTGGGAAGTGCAGCTTTATGTTATTTACATGCAAGGGGGGAAAAAAAGGAAAAAAAGGAAATCCTTAATGATCCTTAAGAAATCATTCTAATATGCTGCTTAATAAGCATTTATTCTTATTATCAATGCTATTGTGCTGCTTAATATTTTTATCTAAACCATGATTTTTTTTTTCAAGATCCTTTGATGAATAGAAAGTTCAAAGGAAAAGCATTCATTTGAAATGGAAATCTTTTGCAGCATCATAAATGTCTATATTGTCACATTTGATCAATTTAATTTAGAAATATTCATTTCTTTATATTGAATCTTAGTATATAATTTCTCATAACGTGATATAAGATTTCGATCATACCGCCCACCCCTACTAGCTGTGTGTGTCCAATTATTTTCATCCTCTTTTATTAGATTTTACTAATGCCGGACACAAAGACCAACAGCTTGAGACGCACCAGAAAAGCTTAACACAAGAAAGCATCATTTTCCCACTAATTACTTCATCTTACCAGTTCCAAATGCTGCCTAACGATACTCTTAATTGCTGAAGTGCCACGCCGAAGCATAAAAAGAACCTTTTCAAAAACGCCAGCCAATCCCAGGCTGGTGGCCTTTTAACAATCCAGCAACGACATCTGTTTCACCCTTACCTCATTTGCATACTTTTTAAAGGTTACAAGTGAACGAAACAGCACTTTTTGTCACTAAGATTCAAAGTATATGCACACTTTCACTTTGTTATTAGTGCGGACCATTAGCAGACACAAACACGCACACATTCACACCTTCTACGCTTAATTAATGCCCCCATGTTCAACAAGTTCGTTGCCCTCAGATTTATAATGCACACACCTCTCCACCTGAGAAGAGATACAGGGGCTAATTAACATTTTCCTGGATGACTGTGCGCCCCAGGTGTGGCTTGTCACATAGCGCCCATACACAAGCTACGACCAAAGATTTCACCACTTTGGCAAATTTATTCAAAGCAGGTCTTGCCTCAGTCTGACAAAGTCTTCACAATGATTTATGAACCTGCTCATTGACCCAGTTTATCCCAGGAAGAGAAATACCATGAGAGAGAAACAGAAAGAGAGAGTGGGAGAGAGACATAAAGAGAAAGAAAAATAGCAACAAAAGAACAGAATATCTTTCCCAGAAGCAAGGAGTGCCACAGGGTGCAGCCTAGACCGAAATGTATCCATCATATACATCATAGAGAGACAGAGTAAATAGTATATAAAACCTTTTCTGAGAGACATAATAAAAAGATAAAGCCAAATAAAGCTAATTTCAAGATAACAATCCAAATTCACTTTCTATCTTTCTTATATAGTATGTAAAATGAAGATGTGTGTGTCCCACTGTATATCAAACATGTACATGTACACAATAAATGGTAAACAGTGTTATCTAGTTTAGCAAAGTTTGTTAGTGTATGCTAAGTAGGCTAATATTTCCCACAACCCCTTGTGCTCTTATTCTTATTCAGTTTTAGGAAAAAATAAATGAACAATTTGATGCCGAAACTGCCATAGCAGTTCTTAAATACATCTTTGTTAGCCTAAACACTAAAAAATTATGCCCAGCTTAACATGCAGAGACAATTATAAGAATGCCATTCACACAGGAAGTTGATTTCTCTGAAACGTAAACACTGTAATGCTAACCAAAAAAAAGCAATATATGTACTTAATATATTTCAAGCATGTATGCATTACCAGCGAAGTATGTGCCTTTAGGCTAAAGTAGATGGATGCAAATTGGGATTCAGCCAATCGCTCCCTGTGGCCTGTCAGCACCTTTTTCACTCTTCTATTTTTCTGCTCTAATTAAGACCATATAAATGACAGGAAAGGGATTCATTAATGTTGAGGAAAGTGGAAAGACATGTTCAGTACCTTTAAATGAAGAAATTGACCATTTTAAGAGGTGAAAGCGCTAAACCCCACAGAAATAAGTTTACATGAGACAAAGAAATGTGTTGAGACAGATGAGTGCCTTGCTCATCATAGGGACAAAATCAACCCTTTTGCAGATTTGCTTTAAACTCTCTAGGACACAAACATCCGTAACAAAATCTGTGTATCTTCTTTGGGGCATAACTAATGGTCAATTGTTAAAGACTAGCGTTTGAGATAATCCTGCTTCAGTGGACACCTCCTTGCAATCTGCCTCGTTATTAATAATGCAGCGAGCTCCTTTCACAGGCCTCTCGCTGCTTCCTGCAGCCCAGCTTGGGGTCTCTCTGATCAGGCGGCTTCAGTGGTCCACGGCGAACGCCTGCCTGCAATCTGTTTCAACAGAGCCATTCACTCAGCTTGCAGGGGTGCGGATTGACCACATACGAGAAGGAGGTAGAGAGAGACGGAATCATATATCGCAACAGCAGACGACTTGTGACACAAAGATGAAAAAGTACTGGGCATGTAACCAGAGTCGGAACCCCAAAAACGAATGTCACAAAACAGTCTGGAACATTCGCCACATTTTTCAGTTTGTCACTGAAGGCCAGCTGTTTGTTTTGGAGGTGAACGTTTTATACGTATGTGAGTCTGGGAGTATTTCATATAGATCAGATATACACAGCTGGCTATAAAATCAACATTTACTTCTTGAGAAAACAGCACCGCTTCAGAATATTTCTACGATGTGACAGATGAAACATATTTTGCTTGGAGCGATACATGAGCTGTATCGGTTTAGATTGGCTTCACTTCTGTGATCACTCACCAGTAAAGAGAAGTTTTATGAGTGGAAATTGTGTAACGTAACACAGCTGAGGGGTCTCGTTTAAATACAGTTCTTGGTCTTTCCTGCTGTAGGGTTAGTATCCGCTGTCCCGCTAACCTTATGACCCTTCACCTCTCACCTGAAAGTCATAAAACATCCTACAGCTCACTTTAACTCTTTTAGTCAACTCAGACTGTGTCTAAACCTGAAAAATGCTGCCTTTGCAGACTGTATATGGAGGTAGGAAGCATACCAATATCTGGTTGAAAGAATAAAAATAGTGTCTAATGATATATATTTGAATCAAAATTTTACTACTTAATATTTGATTGGTTATGTACGGATATTGTTTCGGATAATTAGACGATGTTATAGCATCTTGGAAACCTTACAAGTGTCTTGTTTCCTTACATGTTACCTTCATTTACAAAACAGTGCCCTTTTAGATTAGGTTTCAGACAACCATCTGACTTAGCACCATGCTGGAAACGTAGAGAGCTAGCGAGAACAGAGAGGGGGAAGTGAAAGAGAGATACAAGAAAAAAAAGGAATAATTGGGGTCTTCATTAATTTTTCATGAATTTTCATTTAGGCGAGGAGACCCCTCTTAGTGCGATCGATAGATCAAGCTGCTGTCACACAGTTAGCACCTGGGGGTTAGCACCACCACCTCGGAAGAGCTGAGAGGATCAGAGAAAACTCACACCCCCTGCCAGCTACATGAGTGAAAACACACAAAAAGTGCCTTTATACCCTTCTTTATATACCCTATAACCCGAAACGCAGTTGTGTATCATCAATTACAGGTTAAAAATAGAACATTTATTCAAAAATATTACTGAAAAGCTTCCCGCAATTGCTAGCTCGAAAGTACCCTTTGCAAAAACTAAACGCCAACATCATCTCCTTTAACCCAAATCACCGTCCTGTATCATCAATTACAGGTTAAAAATAGAAAATGCAGCAGCATTCAAAATTTACTGACTCTCAAAATCTTCCCACAATCCCTTCATCTAGAGTTACCCTTTCCAACAGCTAAACACACACACACACACTCTCATTACTGCATGGGGTCTTGGCGGCAGAGCCAATTTAGTTATCCATTCATTCAATATTTATCATAATATCCTTATTCCATGATGGATTGCTCCTATTTTCATAACAATGCATAAGAGAGGCCACAGTATTGATCAGCTCGGGGTTGAAACAGACTTCAAGATAGCGGCTCACTTAGACTTCAGGTCTAGACTACAAACCCAGTGAAATAAGACCAATACTCCTTAATCTCTAATGACTTTTGCTTTGGCATTTCTGCTAAGCTAGTGTAGCTAGCTTTTATGCCTTCAGATGCTGAAATGTATTCACTGATCACAAAGATCACAAACTCCCAAGACAATAGGCCCAAGATCTGTCTGGCAAAGAGTTTATTGGCTACAACAGTCCATTAATCAGCAATGATTTAGCAAAAAGGCCTATGATTAAAATAGCATACTCATTGTCTAGTAGAAAAGCAAATGAGGACAGGTTAGCTGTCACTCATAATGGTCTCTGATTAGCTTGGGGATTTGATCCCAGGAGATGTGCTCTCTCTGAAAATGCAAGTCAACCCAACAGAGACCCATCTTCAAACCAGAACCCATCTATAGGTTGTCAATAAGCCCCCCTCCCAGATTCTGCCTAGTGTGTCTACACCCTCCTTCCACACCTAGCATGCTCTTTCATCTGAGTCTATTGCTTTGCACTTCCTTGGCATGCCCTATCATTTTCATTTCTCAGTCAGAAGGAAAAACTACAAGCCTGGCAGATTGTACCGAAACAGACTGATATATCTAAGATTTGCTCAAACATATGTAGAGCTAATTAAAGTCAGAAGCCAACTGCAAAATCATTCCTACTGATTGTTTTGGAACTAGGGAACTCAGGCCTTTTCCAAAATCAGTCAGATGCAATACCAAATCACAATTTGATGCGGCAAACGTGGTATTCCAAAAGCAGAATTGTGCAATTGAACGCTTAGGAACATTAAGGTGCAGCCTGGTCGACAGGGTTCATGGAAAAAACAAGTTCTCCAACACTGATTGTTACTGTGACTCAAGACAATAATTAAAGAAATCGCATACTTACATGCTACTTCCAGTGAGGCGTTTCGACTGACTGCTTCCCCCAAGTAATTGCGTGCCACACAAACGTACGCCCCCTCGTCAGGTTTGCTTCGACGGCCATGTACGATACGCAGGAAGAAGAGCGAGCCGCTGGGCAGGAGCATGCGGTGGGATCGAGGGTCATCTTTATCGGTTTCAACTCGTTCTCCATCCTTATACCACTCTACGGTAGGGGTGGGCCGCCCCTCCGCCTTGCAGTTTAGGGTGGCTGGTTCGCCCTTGGAAACAATCAGATCGGAAGGGTGTTCTACGATCCGAGGTGGAGAATCTTCCTGCCGTAGACGGGATCCTAGGAAAACAGAGAAAGAGGAAGACTTGTCAGGTCCAACTGAAGCACAATATGTTTGTTTCGTGGCTAAACCTCCCAAGAGAGTAGCATGCTAGCATGATCAGCACACAGCTCTGTGCAGCTTTGCTTGTTTAGCACTGCTAAAACAGCTGCTCGCTAGCTGTTTGTTCAACATAAACCACTGCAGAGCGCAGAACGGACCTCCTACGCTATGAGAGCCCCAGCAGCAGCAGCTAGCTTGAGCTGAAGGTGGCCGTGTCCTCTCTTGGGATGGCAGGTGTGCAGTGCTGATGTACAAGAGTTCACTGCGGTGCTAAACTCTTTCGGTTGCTGATGTATGGAACTGCAGTAAAAAAGAGCATTTGTTTAGGGTGTTTAGGATCACTTCTAAATGTGATACCCACGCTGTCTCTTCCCAGTTGGACCAGGACACAGCATAGCAGAGAAGTAAGCTTGTTTGTTTGTATGCAAATATATTTTGCTGAGTCTTAGTGTGCTCTAAAGGTTCGTTCTCTCTCGCAGTGCAGTACAGACTCAATTAAAGGGAGCGAGGACTCCCACTTCACCTAATTTGTGCTAATTCCTGCCATTTCCCTCTCATTGATTAGTGATCATTCCAGCTGTCTGTTGTCTAAGTGGGGCCACACACAGGACCCAGAGCAGACTTGTGGGTCACACAAGGGAATTGCTACTGACAGGGCGAGATCTTATCCTGTACCCTGTGCTGCATACTATGAAACCAAGCTCTGCTGAAGTTTGCAGATACACTGATTTTGCTCTCTCTCACTGCCTCTCGCATTTCTCCTTCACCCTCCCTCTTGGCAGTCTGCATCCCTCAAAACCTGAGGTGTCAAACTCATTTAAGTTTGGAACACTGATGCAACCTTGGTGTATCCATGCATGTTCTTCTGGATCTAATTAAATTCAGAATCGATTTACACACACACACACACACACCAATTTTTAATGAATGAACACGAACGTTTATAACATTTTGTTTCTGATTGAGTTTTATGTCCTGCTTTCAGCAATCAGAAACAAGTTCATTTTGATATTGTAAGTCACTAAATGAACAAACCACTAATTAACATTATGACATTGATAAATGGGGTGGGTCAAGATAAGAGGATGATGGGAGGACCATGTTTGCCAAGAACGCACATACACACACATATATTAACTGCTATCTCACTGGAGCATCTGTTTAGCTTCTAATCGACAGCCATTGGCAGAGACTTTTACATGACTGAGGTGAATATGCTTGCACTTGCCATGCGATTGGATTTTTATTAGTCTAATTTCTTTTAATCCAATTTGTATTCCAATCTGTAACCTCTAATCATCTGAACCTTGAGGCGCCATCTGCTTGCTGTATTTTTTTCTTTCGTCTTTTTATCCAGGGAGAAATTTTGCTCAGCAGATGCTTCTAAAATTGTGCTTTTCCCTGTTAAGTGAGGAACAGAAGGAAATGTAAAAAAAGATAGAGGATAAACCGATAAAAGAGAATATTATTCACACCATAGCATAAATGGAGCCAATTCCTTTTGACTAGGTGGTAACTAACTAAAAGTAGTGATTCTACTAACTTAACTAGTATTGAGCAAGAAAAATACTGCTTTAATTTTTATTATGCTATATATTTTGAAAGCCCAATGCTGTTTTTTGACCTTTACAGATATACAACAGGCAAACATAGCTGTTTTCCACTCTTGAAATTGTAAAACTGCCTTGATAGTGACCACTATAACCGGGTCAATCATACAGGCAGACACCCCCCCCCCCCCCCCCCCCCCCCACCTAGCCAATGAGGACAGCTTGTCAGAGGTATGCTACACCAATGTTATGTCTTCCTTTTCCTTTTCTTTTCTTTTGTGTTTTGTGTTTTGTTTGTCCTTTGTTTCATCTCACCCAGGTCGCCTTTCTAAAAACTGCAGTATTGTGACACACCCACGCCCCCCCCCCCCCCCCCCCCACACACACACACTCCATTACCCCTAACACACTTGTGGATGTAGCACATGAAAATGAATAAGTAATTTTTTCTAAGCCACTGGCAAAGTCAATTTATTTCCTTCCCACTCTCTGACTGTCTCTTTGTTTCCCTCTCTCTCTCTTCCTGCTGCCCTCTCTTAATGCGATCATTGCTTGTGGAACAATCAAGTGCTCTTGGCCGCCTGGGAGAGTGCTCTTTACTATGTCTCTGAGCACACACCGTTCAAAGAACCATTTCCTCTTCCCTTGAACCCCCCAGCCAGCCCACACACACAAAGGCATATATGCATATGCACGCACATTTGAACTGAGGAACGCACACATGATGCGTGGAAATCCGTGTGAGAAACTGTCGACATTCCAATCGAGTTTGATTCATGCATTCATAATCATTCTTGATACGACATGTAACGCACTGATGCAATTTATATCCATCCATTTTCCAGAAAGTAGATTTTACTAGGAAAAAGAGAAAAATGGAAATTGCATAATCTACCTCCACCTCATCTAAGCTTCCTAAAGCCTGTCTTCCTCTCCTCCTCCTTGCCATATGCAGCCTACAGAATCAGCCGAGGAGGAGGATGTGTTTTCTATGGATGAGCAAGCCTAGAAGGGGTGAACTGTCATGTTAGTCATTGTTTACAGGCTGGTTAAGAACAATAGCTCACTTGCAGAACCTCCCTCTTGTCTCCTGCATGGCGAGAGGACTAATTTCATCCTTGTACATATTGTGCCACCACTTAATGGATGGTGGAGGACAGAAAAAGTTTGAAATGTTGTTGTTTTTTTTCTTCTGAGCCTGCTGCTGAGCCATCTACAGCACATTTCCATAAAGCTATCTTCATCTCCTCGCTATAGGAGTCATAGCATCTCCTCACCCACAAACAGGACCTATTTAATCTCAAACTGTTTCTCTGAGACACCAATGAGAACAAATGGAGACTATCACAGCTCTCCTGAGATCCAGGAAATCACACATATCTACTCAAGAGTTTCAGAAAAGATCTCAAACTCTGTTCAGATCAGTTACCAAATTATCTAAACTTCTCTACATAAATATACAGCTCTACATTTAAAATTTTCCCCAAGGGTTTTTAGGAGAAATAAGAACAATAGCTCACTTGCAGAACCTCCCTCTTGTCTCCTGCATGGCGAGAGGACTAATTTCATCCTTGTACATATTGTGCCACCACTTAATGGATGGTGGAGGACAGAAAAATTTTGAAATGTTGTTGTTTTTTTTCTTCTGAGCCTGCTGCTGAGCCATCTACAGCACATTTCCATAAAGCTATCTTCATCTCCTCGCTATAGGAGTCATAGCATCTCCTCACCCACAAACAGGACCTCTTTAATCTCAAACTGTTTCTCTGAGACACCAATGAGAACAAATGGAGACTATCACAGCTCTCCTGAGATCCAGGAAATCACACATATCTACTCAAGAGTTTCAGAAAAGATCTCAAACTCTGTTCAGATCAGTTACCAAATTATCTAAACTTCTCTACATAAATATACAGCTCTACATTTAAAATTTTCCCCAAGGGTTTTTAGGAGAAACATCTGATACTTCAAAGAAACATAACTGAGAACCATGAAAGAGCAATAAAACCTCAGAGCAATAAAATTTTCTTCTGGGCACAGATGACCACGTATGCCACCTCCACCGCTCTTCTATTAGCTCTGCCACACATTTATTCATGTGCAAAGCAGAAGGCTGGGGAGCTTTGATGATCTTCTTCGTAATAATTTTTATTGGTTCCCTTGAGATTCATCAGCCCAGCATTCAAATCAATAGCCAGAGCTTCTACCACCCACTGCAGCAAGGCCAGAAAGCCCCCAGAGGACGCATCACTTATTGTGTGTGTGTGTGGAGCTGCGATCAGAGGTTACCACGGGCAACGTCCCAAAGGTGTTCTAATTACACTGTTCCATTGGCAATAAATAAAAGGCGAGGAAAGAGGTCACCGTTTGACGAATGGTTATCTCAGGATTTTGATGCGGATTAACGTTAATTGAATTAGTATGCGCCTGAAGGAACGTCACAGTAGAAAATAATTTATGGTTCACAGAGCATACATACGAGAAAATACTTTCCTTGTTTTTTATTTATTATATTTTAAGTAGCAGAAAAGAAAGTTGAGACTGAAAGAATGGGGTCAAAATGGCAGCGACTATATCTATCTATCTATCTATCTATCTATCTATCTATCTATCTATCTATCTATCTATCTATCTATCTATCTATCTATCTATCTATCATCTATCTATCCATTGTTATATCATTCTATCATTCTGTCCATCTATCCATCAATCTATCTATCTATCTATCTATCTATCTATCTATCTATCTATCTATCTATCTATCTATCTATCTATCTATCTATCTATCTATCTATCTATCTATCTATCTATCTATCTATCTATCCCTTGCTGTTTTCCACTCTTGAAATTGTAAAACCAGTTTTTACAGTGACCACTATAACAGGGTCAATCATACAGGCAGACAAACCGCAACCCCCACCCCAACACACTCCATTACCCCTAACACACTTGTGGATGTAGCACATTAAAAGTAATTTTTTTCTATATTTTCTCCCATCAGCAGACTAAGCCACTGGCAATGTCAATTTATTTCCTTCCCACTCTCTGTCTCTTTGTTTCTCTCTCTCTTTCTCTTCCTGCTGCCCTCTCTTAATGCGATCATTGCTTGTGGAACAATCAAGTGCTCTTGGCCGCCTGGGAGAGTGCTCTTTACTATGTCTCTGAGTGCACACCATTCAAAGAACAATTTCCTCTTCCCTTGGACCCCCCAGCCAGCCCACACACACAAGGGCATATATGCATATGCACGCACATTTGGACTGGGGAACACACACATGATGCGTGGAAAACCGTGTGAGAAACTGTGGACATTCCAATCGAGTTTGATTCATGCATTCATAATCATTCTTGAAATGACATGTAACACACTGATGCAATTTATATACATACATTTTCCAGAAAGTATA